CTGCCATGTATTCTGCCTCTGTAGTAGACAAGGCCACCGTAGATTGCAATGTAGACTTCCAACTTATTGGGGCTTTAACAAGAGTAAACAAATACCCAGTAGTTGATCGACGCTTATCCAAATCACCATCATAATAGGAATCAACATATCCAACCACACACTGACCAAGTGCTTCATCTTGTTCAAAAACTAAACCAACATCCATGGTTTGTTGGAGATACCGTAGAATCCATTTCACAGCTTGCCAATGTCATTCTCCAGGATCATGCATGTACCTGCTCACAACTCTAACTGCTTGCGAAATGTCAGGACGTGTACACACCATTGCATACATCAAGCTCCTAACTGCATTAGTATATGAAACTTTTTCCATATACTCTCATCCTTCGTTAGTTTTAGGAGATGAGAACTAAGTTTCAAATGAGAAGCTAGTGGGATACTTACATGTTTGGTATTTTCATTCATGTCAAAACATTATAATACCTTTCTCAGATAATGTTTCTGTGTTAAAAAAAGCTTCCCTCTCTGTCTATCTTTGCTTATCTCCATAACAAGAATCTTCTTGGTCTTACCTAGATCTTTCATCTCAAACTCTTGATTCAATTGAGCCTTTAATTTGTATATCTCCTTTTGACTCTTCGAAGCGATCAACATATCGTCAACGTACAAGAGAAGATAAATGAAAGACCCATCTTTAAGCTTTTGCAAATACACATAATGATCATATTTGCTTCTAGTGTACTTTTGCCTCCTCATAAAGCTATCAAATCGCTTGTACCACTGCCTCGGAGATTGCTTCAATCTATATAGCGATTTGTTCAGCTTACAAACCCATTTCTCACGACCACCATCTTTGTATCCTTCTGGCTGAGTCATATAGATCTCTTCTAAATCACCATGCAAGAAAGCCGTCTTTACATCAAGTTGATCTAGCTCTAAATTCAACTGTGCTACCAAGGCCAACAATATTCTAATGGAGGAATGCTTCACAACAGGGGAAAATACTTCATTGTAGTCGATCCCTTCCTTTTGAGAGTAGCCTTTAGCTACCAACCGTGCCTTGTAGCAAACATCTTTCTTGCTATGAGATCCATCTTTCTTTGCAAATACCCACTTGCATCCAATTGCTCTTTTACCTTTCGATAATTGAGCCAGTTTCCAAGTGTTGTTCTTTTGGAGAGATTGCATTTATTCATCCATGACACTTTTCCACTTATCACTTTCCAAGCTTTATATTGCTTCTTGGTAGGTGAAAGGGATATCATCATCAACAACTGGAAGAGCATATGCCACCATATCAACAAATCGAGCAGGTCTACGAATTTCTATTCTTGGTCTTGTAACTGCAAGTGGTTCTGGTGTCTCCAATAGTTCTTGGGTTTGAACATCTTCATCTTCTGATTCTTCTATTAGAGTTGAAGAATCAGCTGCATCAGCTTCTGGGATCATCATTTGCTGAAACTCCACCTGTTTTAGAGTATGCTCCACCTGCTGCGGAGTACTACTTGTCTGGACAGCTTCATTTGTTACCTTCTTTATTAGGGTAGATTCATCAAAGGTAACATCTCTGCTACAAATTATATTCTTGGTGTCTAAATACCAAAGGTGGAATCCCTTCACTCCATGGGTGATTCCAATAAAGAAAGCCTTATTTGCTCTCGGATCAAGCTTGGATTCCTTCACATGATAATAAGCAGTGGATCCAAATACATGTAAGGAATCATAATCAGTAGCAGGTTTTCCAGACCATACCTCCAATGGTATTTTTCCTCCTATCGCTGATGACGGCAGACGATTGATGAGATGACCAGCATATGTCATAGCCTCAGCCTAAAATGCCTTGCCTAACCCAATATTAGACAACATACATCGAACTTTCTCCAATATTGTTCGATTCATACGCTCTGCCACCCCATTTTGTTGTGGTGTATTTCTAATAGTGAAGTGTCGAACAATACCATACTCATGGCAAACGTCAAAGAATGAGTCATTTTTATATTCCCCTACATTGTCCGTCCTAAGACATTTGATCTTTCTACCAGTCTGGTTCTCAATCATAGTTTTCCATTTCAGGAAAATTCGAAGCACTTCATCTTTAGACTTCATCGGATACACCTAAACTCTTCTGGAAAAGTCATCTACAAAAGTTACAAAATAATGGTTTTCTCCCAAAGACGGTGTCTTTGAAGGACCCCATACATCTAAGTGAATATAATCCACAATACCTTTTGTATTATGTATAGTGGTGCCAAACTTCACTCTCTTCTGCTTTCCAGAACACAATGCTCGCAAAAGTTTAATTTGCAAACCTTTGCACCTTTCAACAATCATTTCTTTACTAGAATTTGCAAGGATTTCTCTCCAGCATGCCCCAACTGCATATGCCACAACTGGGTTGCGTCCAAATCATCACCTCCGGAAGCTGCTGCAACTGTTCCAATAATTGTACTACCTTGATAGTAATACAAATTATTTTTCCTGATGCCCTTCATCATCACAAGTGCGCCATATGTGACTTTTAAAACTCCATCTCTCATAGTGACTATTGAGCCTTTGGATTCCAAGGCTCCCAACGAGATGAGATTTTTCTTCAAACTGGGCACGTATCGGACATCTGTCAGAACTCTGGTTGATCCATCTTGATTCTTCAATCGAATTGAACCTATCCCAACAGTTTTACAGGCATTATCATTTCCCATATAAATAACTCCTGCATTTAGTTCTACTAAATAGGAGAACCACTCCCGATTAGGGGGCATATGATAGATGCAACCTGAATCTAATATCCATTCATCTGAATGGAATGTTGTTGATGAAGCAACCAATGATATATCAGAGTCATTTGCATTATGCTCTGCAACACATGCATCTGGAGCACCTTTTCCTTTCTTCTTCAGCTTCGGACAATCTTTCTTCCAATGGCCTTTCCCATGACAAAAGGCACATTCATCTTTTCCAGTCTGGACTTCAACTTTTATCTCCCTCTCTACTTTGGCTTTTGACTTTTTGAGCGGCCTCTTGCCACCATGGCCTCCGCTGCTTCGTACTTGCTATCCTTCTTGGTTTTCTTCCTGAGCTCATAACTATATAAAGTAGCAGTTACATCTTTAAGGGTAACATTATCCTTACCATGAAGTAGCGTTGTCTCAAGGTGCTCAAATTCATCTGGAAGAGATGACAACTACATCAAGGCAAAATCTTCATCTTTGAAGGTTTCATCCATGCCCAATAAGTCTGCCACTAGCTCATTGAACGCAGTGATGTGTTCATTCATACTGGTGCCTGGTTGATAATCAAATCTGAACAATATTTTCTTCATGTGGAGACGATTCTGAGAGCTTTTCTTTAGGAATTTTTCCTCCAATTCTTTCCACATCTTACTTGAAGAAGTCTCGTTCTTGTAGCCATACTTCTGCTCCCTGGAAAGACAATATCGAATCGTGTTGCACGCCAAACGATTGATTGTTCCCCATTCTTTCTCCTCCATATATTCGAGCTTTTCTTCCTCAATGGTGATGTCTAGACCTTGTTGGAATAAAGCGTCTAACACCTCGCCTTGCCACATGCAAAATGACCGGATCCATCGAACAAGAAATTTGCATTTGACATCATCCTCCTCACCGATCCAGATAAAGAGCTTGATGTCTCAACTGATCCGTATTTTGGCATTTTAATTCCAACGAACAATATTCAATAGCACGAACTGTATCTTTTCAGTAACAGAACCACCATGATAACCTCAACCGAAGCTCTGATGCAAATTGTTGGGGAAATCGGGTTATTTCCCACACGAACGTAGTTTCAAAATCAACCTAAAATGTTAAGATCAAAACCACCAAATGTTGCACAGCGGATAAACCTGTCAAACTATTGAATATTGAAACACAATAGAAAAAACCGAATAAAAACAATAAATGAGAGAACACACCAAATTTACGAGGTTCGATGAGAATATCGTCTACTCCTCGGGCACCACACCAGATGATAACTTCACTATCAACAAATATTACAACAAATGGAATTCTTTAGAATTCACAAAGTGGGAGAATAAAGAATACAAGAGAAAGAGAGAACTTGTTTTTGGGATGATTTATAATGAAATACTTAGGCCTATTTATATTTGAGTTTTAAGGACTAAACTTATAAATAACCTAATATTTTAGGGATTAAACATGAAAAATAAGTTGGCCACCTACCAAACAATTTTCCAATGTGTACAAGTTAGCCAAAAAATATGAAATTCCCATGTTCAAAGTTTGGCCACCAACCAAGATGAAATTTCTAATAAGTTGGCCACCAACCAAGATGAAATTTCCAACTTGCCAACTTAATTTCAAGCCAAATCTAACGATACTCCTTGAAAGATGGCTTCTTTTGGATTATTAGGTTTCAAGGGAAGGCTGAAATGTTCTTTCATAAATGGGGATGTATCTCCGATAAGTTGGATGAGCTTTTACCGCGATAATGAGGATTCTCCTTTTTAAATGTTCTGACTTTATGCTTCCAAATGTCCCCAGATGGGACGAAGTAAGGATCCAACAACTGCTCATCCCCGAAGATGTGAATAGAGTCCTCGAAACCCTCATTACCCCCACCCATGATGATAGATTGATTTGGAGCCAATATGACACCGGATGCTATTCAGCGAAATCAAGGTACAATTGGCTTCTTTTTTTAGAAAGATCTTCCCGCTGAACAGGGAAAGAAATAGAAAACCCTCATCAAATTGCCTACATTGCCTAAAATTAGGATCTTTGGATGAAGTGTGCCACGAGGCAATCCCTCCAGGAGAAAATTGAAGAAGGCCAGATTATCTAAAGGATCATGTCCCCTTTGTGGGAGTGAATTGGAAACTACGATCCATGCTCTTAAGAATTGCCCAAAGACAAGTGTCATCCTCGAAATCTCAGGGCTTAATCCCTCAATCATCGACTAACAAGTGTAAGGACTAGTTGGAATGGACAGGCACTCAGTTGGACACTGTTGGGCTAGCTAGACTTATGGTGCTACTCTGGAACGTGTGGAACCGAAGGAACAAATGGTTCCATGATGAAGAGTTACTAGACGATAGGGATATGGTGGTGGCCGCGTGGGGCCTTTGTGTTGATTTTGTTGAAGCCAATTCAATTGGAAGTTTTCTCACCCCCTCACAGAGCTCGATGAAACTGACATTTTGGAGCCGTCCTAAGACAAATGGAGTTAAGATTAATGTCAATGGGGCTTTTAGCACAACGAAAACCATGTCAGCAATAGGCATTGTGGCCAGAGACCACAACGGTATGGTGCTTGGGGGCATGTGCCGACAAATTACTCCACCTTTCATGGCAGAATCTACGGAAATGGAAGCTTTTACACAAGGGCTTAAATTCACAATCGAGAATGGGTGGATGGATACCATTATTATAGGCGATGCAATTTCCATTGTCAATAGACTTTTCAATAGAAGAGAGGATGTTTCAACCATCACATTGTTGCTCAACGAAGCACAAAATATCTAACCAGCAATTGTGATCTTAAAGTTTTTTATAAATCGTGATGCGAATTGGGTTCACTCCCTAGCAAATTGGATTTTGTCGAGACCCAATCCGTATTGGTTTTACTTTGATAAATCCGATTGTATTAAGTTTGCTATAATCCTGGATGCCATGGGAATATAAAGATTTTCCTCTTTAAAAAAATTATTATGGAGACATAATGATGTCTCAAATCTTAGTTTTGTTGATCATGTGGTTGTTAGTTGGTGAGTTTCCTTTAAGAACTTAAATCTATACAGATATTAATAAGAGGAAGTGAAGTGTCCACTTGATACTTGCAAGCAAAAATAAAAACAGCAAAACAATAGTTAATGCAGTTCTGATTCAATGGACCTTATGTTTGACAAGTTAAGCTCACTGAAAACTATACTCTTTAGCAACAAGACAAGACGTATTTTAATTCCAATCACTTATGTTATCCTTAAAATAGGCATATATAATATTTAATTTAATAAATTATAATTATAAAAATATTTCTCTCTATCCCTCTCTCTCTCTCTCTCTCTCTCTCTCTCTCTCTCTCTCTCTATATATATATATATATATATATATATATATATTATGAATCAAAGTGGATTATTAGACAATCAGACTTGCTGAGTTTAAAATAAAATTGGAAATCAAAGTTGGTTTTGAATTAAGGTATCGGATAAGTGGAAGAAAAAGATGTTGAAAACTAGATATTATAGCAAAACTTGCTTGAGCGGAATACTCCTAATAGAATAAAATAAAAGGTAAAGTAGTATTTAAATTTTATTTTTTCTCAAAAATAATCATTACGTTTAATTTAAATTTTGTTTTTCTTAAAAATATACCTTACGTTTAGCTTAAGTTTCAAATTAATATCCACCATTAAAAAATTAATAAACTACAGACATGACATTTTAATTTTTTTTCATTAATGACGTGACGTAATCTTATGATGACACATCAACATCATCATTAAGTCTTTAACGAGTATCAAATAAAACCTAAAATAAACGTTAAATATAATTTAAAAAAGAATAAAGTTTACGTTCCAGAATAGAACAAAGGTAATAGTTGTGGTACTAAAAGTTTACCCTAAAATAAAATACGTAGGGGGTTAGTATATCTTCATCGCCAACTTCCTCATTCACTCAAACCAGGGATATTCCCTCCATGGAAGTTGTTGAATCCTCTCAGTATTACAATCATTCCGGAAATAGGTGTAGTTAGATCGATGCAGTCCATGATCAGGACTCTGGTATGGGCTAGAATGTTGTAGTATGACCGATTCAGTCCATGATCGGATCGAGCAGGGAGGTGAAGGTCCAACATGATCCATGTGAAGACCACCATTTGAACACCACCATCACAAATGATACTATAAAGAATATAAAAACAAACCAACTCAAATATAGCTTTCCTTGGTCGCTCATAAGAATCATAAATCTGGACAAATTGTCATATGTATTACTCATCCTTAATATTCAACAGGCAACACATATTATGTTGATGAGAAGTGGGTAGCATGTTATGTTATGGTAGCACAAGTAATAGCATCTCAAAAAGTTAGATCAACTAAATACAAACATGTAATAACATGGTCCAACTCCAACTATTCCTCTCTAGAAGCCGGATCGATCCCGGTCGATGGGCTATCAGCAAAATACTCCTGATGCTTCACATTCACCCCGTACTGCTCATTCAAACAAAGTAAAACAATTACTCCCGATACAAATGAAAATGCTAAGCAAAATCAAGACTCTTATTCATTAAAGACATAAAACAATGCGAATGAGAAAATTTTGACCATCATCAAAAGGATCGCAAAATAACCCACTTAGTTATTAGAATATTCTGTGTATGCCTAAGCAGCTACATCACACATCTGTCACTGTAATTTCGACGATATTATGTTAAAGAACAATCAGCTCCTACATACAATAAAATATAATGCTCAAACCTCTGTGCTCAAATGATCTGTAATCAGATGGACAATTAAATTTCCCTTGAATGAGCTATTTAGTTATAGAGGCTACAACTTAATGCTCTAGCATGTGCTAAAATTCCATTCACTACAAACTAGGGAAATCAGAAAATAATTATTGGCATTCAGAAAAAGAGGCAGTATAAAATTTCAGTGCCTACCTCGTGCAGTGATTTTGAGAGATCATCCATCACCAAGATTAGACGCTTATCATGTTCCAACAGAGAGTCAGACAAGCCAAAAGAGATCAAGAATCTTTAAAAACAAACATAAGTAATCACCTTTTGCTGCTTGTCCCTTTTGTCCTTGACGACTGCAGCCTGCCTTGCCTTGCAATGCCTAACATTAGGAGTAAAATATTGTAAGCAAACTTAATGAACTAAACGTGACGAAATCCAAACTTAAACCAATCAAAAGGTTACTCAGTTGTTTAACATATTCCCATTGCACAGAAAGAAATATTTGATGAATCAACATAAATTAAGAACACTCGAACTTGGTCATCTCCACAAAGTGTCCTACTTCCAATTGATATATAACATCAATAAATTTCAAAGCTTCCTCTATTCGTAGTTTAAAGAACAAAAGTGGGATAAAATTCAAATGTTTTTGGGTGTCATACTGAAGTGCATCACTAGCAACCTCGGCAACGAACTTTTGAGTAGCAACAGCAACAAGCCTTATTCTGCAAATGCTCAACAAGAATCAAACGGGATCACACAAAAAGGAATTAACACATCGACAATGTGAACCTCAATCCATCTTGTGTACTGTAAAAGAATGCTCGAATTAAAGAGAATCCCCTGCCCAAGACCCCAGGATCCAAGCAAAATAACTCATACATAGACAAGCTAGCTCATAAAAGGTTCAAATTTTTGGGAACCCTAGAACCAACTAAAAGAAAGATGAGTAACCCCAGGCAGAGCTAATCGGCTAAAGTAAGATAAAAGATTTAAAACATTTCTCCGAACCCAGGAGAACCAAGAAAGTAACAATTTTCCACAAACTTCAGTTTAGGCATCCAAAGATCATAAAACGAGAATTAAGAAGAAAAAAAAGAGGGGAGAAGCACCTACAATCGAACATCGGGGCATTGAAAACCACTCTTGGCTAAGTAATGTTTCACCAATTCGTCAGGTATCTGCCAAGAATCAACCACAGAGAAAGTTGAGAAATCGTTAGAAACATAAAAGAAGAAGAAGAAGAAGAATTGATTATTGAAGAAAAAGAAAGGGTATAGTGGGAGTGTAATCCATGAGAGAGGCAAGGAAATCGGAGAGGGCAGAGTCGTCATCGTGCTTGCCGTCGCTGGATTGCGGATTGGGGTTCATTTCCTTTACTTTCCCCAACTCTCTGCTCTCTGCTCTCTGCTCTCTGCCTTGGCTACGTTATTATTGCGCTTAATTCTATTTTTCTTTATCAATAAGCTAAATATCTGTAAATAAGTTTGGGGGAAAACGTAAACTATTCTGACCATTTAATTATTGTTTTTTCATTTACATAATCAATTAAAATTTTATCAATAACATAAATTAGTTGACCCTATTATCATATATAATAGGTGAGGGGAGGTAGAATAGTAGACTACCCAACGTCAGGTTGAGAGCAGCTTCCGTAGAAGACCTCCAACAGTCAGAATTATGAATTACCCACCGTGAGACTCGATCCCACGACCACAAAATTAAAAGTCTTACGCTCTACTAACTTAGCTGGACGGACAATTCTTTATCAATAACATCTCTTAATTATTTAAGTGGCATGATCAAATTAACATTTTACGAGGAGGTAATGTGGCTATTAAAAGTTTTGATACGATTATAAATTTAATCCTCAATATTAATATATTTTATCAATTTAATTCTAATTCTAATTTAATTAAATAAATTTAATATATAATCAGGTATTGACACTTCATTTAGAAAATTATTTTCTTCTTAATTTTATCGTCATTTGATTAGAGGAAAATAAATTAAAAAAAGAAATATAAACAGTGAAAATTGGAAATATTGTGGGTTGAAAAAATTAAAAATACAAATATTTGAGAATTATTTTTAGGATCTAGATCACTTACTATCGTGTATGTGAAACTCATCATGAGGAAATTATAAGTCTCATAAAACATATTTAAAAAATAAAATTCATCATTAGAACTGAAAGAAAATTTTATAAAACCCAGGACATGACGAGTTTTAATTATTTATTATATTTGATGAAACTTGTTATTTTCTCATGAAGAGTTTCACATGCAAATAACAAATATTCTAAAGTAATTCTTAAATATCTGTATTTTTAATTTTTTTTATTTCCATTTAATTATTTGGGCAACAAAATTAAAATAAAAGTGATAAAATTTGAATTTATTATAGTTTAAATTGATATATTCATATATTAGTGTAAATATAATTTTATATTTTCAATTTACAACATAATATCTATAAATATTTTATCCTTTTAAAATTATTTTATAACTGTAATTCTAAATAATTAAATTCTAAATTACACTTTTAAAAAATTATTTTAAAAATAATCTTTTAAAAACTATACCAAAGTGACTCGTAATAAAATGCAACAATAAAGAAAGAACAAAATGGCCATCGTCGCCCAATGAATATCCATAAAAACCCAAAATCTGTGGCATCCAATAAAGAACCAAAGGCGCCATACACGTCAGCAACAATCCCATAATCTCAGTCACTTTGAGGTCACTGCTTGCATCATTAAAAATATTTTTTTATCATATCGCAGTCGAGTATGTTAAAATCCATCTCAGACAACCATAATTTTTAACGAAAAAGGATGGATTTAGAACATATGAATAATTGAGTGATCATTTTGTAACTTTCAATAGTTGGAGGACTCAACAAAGAAACACCGTATAGCCAGGGATCATTTTATAACTTTTAATAGTCGGAGGATTCAACAAAACAATACCGTATAGTCAATGACCATTTTATAACTTTTAATAGTAGGAGAATTCAAGAAAACTAGACCTTATAGTCAAAGGATCATTTAT